ACAAAGACGCATCAATCGCGCATAAGTAGAAATCGCGTCTTCTTTACAGCATGCATCGCTTCTGAGAAAGCTGGCAGTGTTTTTGAATAAAAACATAACTTTGAAGAAAGTATATTTCACTGAAAATGTGTTTGACAGTCATGCGAAGAACGTGTGCTGGATATTTTCAATCTAATATAGTCGACTTATTTTAATTCAGAAATTAAATTGGGATCTCAATTCTTGAAATGTTACTAGCTTTAAAAAATTATTAAATCATAGTAAATCATTAAATAACAGGTAAATTCATTTTTAAGAAATAAAATTATTTATTCTATCCTTTTATTTTCTATTTTCAAAAAATATTATTTATATAATATTATATGTGCATATATGTATAATCTTTAAGAGATTTCTTTTTTAAATTATATCGAATTTTATTTTTTTGAGTGTTCCTTGATCTTGAAATGTTTTACATGAGATCACGAGATGAAATAAGCACACATTCAATAACGCCCATTTGTCCTATGAACTTAGAAATAGGTTTAACCTAAGTGACATTTTTATTCTTATGAAGCGATTTCGATCGTCTGTGTCAAAAACGTTACTCGCTCGTTTATGTGATTGTATCTTGATATCACCAGTCGACCTTTTCATTGTCGGTATTGCCCGTTAACACTTTCTAGCACATCATGCATCCAAACGTAATATTACTGTCGACATTGGTGGCCTTCGTCGCCACCGAGAGCATTCTAATGACGGAGGTCTTTGTCATTCCCATCAGGCCCGAGACTTTCGACTGGAGTGCAGATGGTAAGAGACTTACATTTTATCTATTATAATTTTTCTTAAAAAAATATCCTGTCGTTTCCAATATCAATATAATTAACAGAGTCCTGATACATTTAATTTTTATTATCTTACAAAAATTATGAAAGAACAAAAGATATCAGAAAAAAAGATATCATATTGTATGTTTCATTGTTCTCAGTTTATTCGCTTTTTTTATCAAATGAGAGAAAAGATGAAATAATCAAAAAGTTTAAAAGTTCTCGCAATTGCTTTACGTAAGTACTTATAATTGTTAATTACGTACTTTATTTTACATTCAAACTTTATTGTCTTAATATAATTAATGAGAAAGAGTGAACTTTTGAAAAACTAAGATATCTTTTAGATTTTTATTTGTTAAATTAATATAACTAAGATTAATTTCTATAAAAAATATGCAATCTTGAAAGAGGGGAAATCTTTTTGCATGTCATATAATCGATTCAATTATATAATTTTTATTACTATTTATGAGTCAGTATTAAATAAATTTCAAATCTAAAATAAAGGATAATATTAAATAGCTATAATTATTCTCTATGATTATATATGAGTACCCATTAACCCATTTCACAATAAATTAAACTATGTCTTCGTACGTCATTTGTAACATACCGCGAATAGCAATTACTTGCTGGACCGTCGTAAATGTTGCGCTGACCTTACGACCAATATTGTCGCATACCGCGGTACTTTCTAATTCAACGCCTTCGTATAATTTTAACGGTACACGAAACGAATCATTAAATTTATCCTTACTTTGTATAGAACATTATATTTCCCATATCAGAACGGGGCTGCGCCTGAGCTCCCACGTTGGCGTAAAAAAAATTTATTTTATATTCTTCAAACTTGAATCAATCGATCATTTCGAGAGAAGTGAAAGGATCTCGGAAGAGATTTTAGATCATCACGTGTTTCGTGTTGTTTAAGCTTTATATTTGAGAGAGAGAGAGAGAGAGAGAGAGAGAGAGAGAGAGAGAGAGAGAGAGAGCTTCTTTTTTTATTTTATTATATTTTATTTTTTCCTTTCCTTTTTTATCAACATTAAGAAATGTTGCCTCGTTAATTTTATTCTGTCTGCCGTTTTAATTCCTTGTTTCTTAAAAAAACAGCAAAAAAATTTGTATATAAAAATTTACCTTCTGGCACTTTTGTATTCTTAATTAATTTTACATATTTAATTTACATATTTAATTCTCCTTTGCATTTTATTCGTAAAGCTTTATTCGTAATAAAGCAAAATATTCGTATCAATTTTTTTCATTTTTCCACTTTTTAATTTTTCTACTCTCTCATAAATATTTTATATTTCTCATATTTTTAATTTTTATTTTATATGTAATCGTTCTGGCAATTTCTGTATCGTGAAGGAATACTTATGTTGTGCTGTTTTATTTCAGGACACTCTGATCAATTTTCATATCAACCCTCTTTGCTGAACGCCCCCGATCTCCCATCATGGATACATTACACTTATAGCAAGAAAGATCATCACGGTTTTTTATATGGCGTCGCCCCCAAAGATCAAAAATACTTTCAGGTAATGCATAATTATTATATCGTCTGTTGACAGTGTTTAATTAGAATAATTTCAGCTCGAAATCGTGGGATTGAATAAGCACACCTATGAAACCCGTTATAAAGTGCTCGACATGAATGTACTCGAGAAGGAGAATTTGACAAAGTACGAAGTGCATCTGAAAATCGATAATCTCAACATAGAAGATATGTTCGATCGCAATCGCACTGAAAAACTTCTCAATATATTTAGGTTGGTTGCATAAATTTCTTATGAGTTACTTGAGTCCCGCAGTTTCAACATCCTTGATACCGATAACGTACGTCATATATCATTTCCTTTCCTGCGAAACTTGTAAACAGGGGAATTTTTTTGATATGAATTTGATATGAAAAGTTTAATTGATCAAAAATAAAGTAATAAATAGAAAAAAAATATAAATAAAAGATAAAAAAAAATAAAGTATAAAGTAAAAAAATAGAAAAAAAATAAATAAAATCTAATCATGTAATCATTCCAATTGAAAAATTTACAAAAAATGAAACCGATTAGTTCTGCTTCTGACATGTTTGTACCGTTAAGTAATAGGAAATTAGATAATATAACTTCTTACGCTGATGTGTATTTTATTTAACCGCAGGAAAAAGTTGTGGAAAGGCGCTGCGGATTTGTACGTGACTTTTTTGGCGTCCGCGATTGAGCTTGGAGCTCGTTTACCTCTGAAGCCTAGCGAAGGCGAAGGGTAAGTTATATTTTTAGAAGTTAACTTCCGCCATCTACTCAATTTAATCTTTAAATCCAAAGAGTAGAATTTTCTACGAGATTTGAAAGAACAAAACTTTCGACCATGACTTTTGCCTCTTTCGATTTATAAAACATTTCATTAATCGTCAAATACAAAGAAGCAATCATCGTAACAGACACGCAAGCTGTAGCAAAATAAATTTAAAAAAATGTTATTATGCTTTATGTTATTTGATGGTTGATGTCAACCAACAATGATTTTTTTTATCTGACAAATTGTTTTCGTAATTGAAATTCCTTCTCGACTTTAATCGTAGTCAATTACGCAATTGGAAAATTATAAATCCACGTGCGAAAAAACCTCATAAAAACGCATTAACTTGAAGAATAAGTATGAGAAGAGTGTTGTTATGACGAAATTAAGCAGTTTCTTTGATATCGCTGACGTACTAATCGCTTGACCGCAAACAGTGACGTGGCCCGGACAGGTTGTTTTTATAATTATATATTGCTACTTCCTATATGCTATATGCGCTATCGCATATTATTTATATGCCCAAAGGATGTAAGTACGGTCTCTTATCGGATATGTTTCTAATCTAATTATGTGCCGGCAACTTTGAGGAATGGAAGTCATTAAGAGATAGTGATCGACATTGTAATCGCTCGTTGTTTCTCACATACTTTCGTTTCATTTGTAATATACGTGTTGTATAAATATAAAAAAAAGTTTATTATTAGGGAATATTGCAAGTAACGTGATGATCTGTCAGACTCATCTGTCGTCGAATCGAAGCGGACAATGAAAACAGTAACGTCACTCATTTGCATTGTTATTCCACAAATTCATGACGTTGCGCTACGTGCATTACGTATTAATAAAATTCCCGGTGTTTTGCACAAAACCGCATAATATGATGAATAATACTGCATCAATTGTCTTGAATCGCAATTAAAGATTTTTATCGGTTATATCATCGCGATAAGATGCGGCTCAGTGCCGGTTCTCACTGTGACGTCATAGATCGACAGATATCGCTTCTACGCGCGGAGATGCAATCATTTCCCATGGAATCCGCAAAAGAATGACGACACTGTTATTCACACATTCTCCGGAATAAGCCTTTGATTATGTGGAATCGAGCCGATGGACTTTCCATTGGACGTTCACAATCACGTCGTGGCGCACAGTGAACGCGTTGTGACTCCCCCAAGATTCTGATTCTACGGATCAACGATCATGATTTATCGCGATACTCCTACGATCGGCACGTAAACGGATGATAACGCGATTTATCTTCCGCTTTTGCGTCTGTCACGCTCCTCGCAGAAAAATACCCATCCATTTCTAAAACGATGTGAATTTCCTATAATCGTCGATTACAATCGTCGTTGATAGAGATAACGATTGTTATTTTTATCATTGAGAAAATTTACGCGAGAGCGACAATAAGCGATCAAGAAAAACAAGAAAATTACGACAACTGCGGCAGAAGTAATTTACAACTGGAAACTGGAATTGGCTAATAAAAGATTCTTTAAGATACATTTATTTATGACGTCGATGAATTAATTTCCCGACTCTAGTTTGTAATATTTTATCCATTTTTATACATTTACATGTGTGTATGCTCGTTCGTCTGCAGAATCATCATGGAAAATGATTTTGTTGTGCATGCAGAATGCAGAGACAAGTCATGCGCGGTGCCGATGTTATTGAAGCGCGGCCGCGGCGTGGGCCGACTTCCTTCCGGTGCAACAATGTATGACATAAAAACAACGTATTTACACACGACATGAGGCGCGTCGTGTCAAAAGAAATTCAAACGTTACGAAACCATTGTTATATTCGACGTGACATGGGAGGTTACGTGAGATATCGGAGGACAGGAAAGAGAGAAAGACATTATATTCTCAATGCAGATTTATGTTTGGTGAGGCAAAAAGTAAGAAGTAAGTAAATTTCGCGATAAAAGATATTGATTCACTGTGGAAGTAACGATTTCGCAGTAAAAGACATTGATTCATTGTGGAGTAGCTCAAAATCTTAAGCTACGACGTGCTTCTCCACAAGATTGGGGACAATGATTTCTTTTTCTCACGGAGAGTAAGATTGATTATTAATAATACTTGGATAAATATGTTTTGCAGTCTTAATCTTTCGAGATTATTCCGTTATTATTCTTGATGATTTCTGATTCATCACACCTGACTCATTATGTGTGACTTAAGTAAAATTAAGTCGGTCGTTACGGAAATGATGTGAGTCAACTTTTCTTTTTTTTTTTATAAATAAAGCAGTTATTCTTTACACAAATTAAATCCTTCGCTTAAAGTTCTACGTTAAATATAAAAATAATACATATACATGTGACTTATATAAGATCTGCATAATGTGACTAATACAAATCCGCCTTTATTCATAGCAAGTTACATAAAGTAAGAAATTTAAAAATAAAAAGTTACGAGAATTCCTCTCTATCTTTTAGTCTCCCTTTTTGTCAGACGTGTGCTTCTCTTTTTGCGCACTGACTGACACAATCGTCCGGATGAAAACTTCTGTTCCCCGTCGCTGAAACTTCTCGCACAGCGAGTTTGCAACGTGAATGCATTCTCACCTGCTAGCGGTATCGATGTCTGTCGCCGTTACGACGCTATTGTCGGCAAAAATATGCAGCAAAACCGTAACGATAATTATTCGGAATTCGCCGCTCCTACGAATTCGTCATTGTTATCCTGACTGAATAAAACCTGAAACTGTCACGTGTTCGACAAATAATCGAGGGGTTACTTTTTGTGCCTCGTGACACCTACGTATTATATTTCTTACGTTGTATCATTGTATTGTCACCGCACTTTGTATTCGATCAACGCCGAGGCGGTTTGGCACGTGCATCACCTTAAATGTGCGATTGAGCGAAAGCTTGAAAACAGCGCGACGATTAATCTCTCACGATGAGATAAATCGACTACGCAATCAATCGGTACCGTATAAAGACATCGAAAACACACTCGACTTCGTGATACGTATCTAGTTAGATATGCAAGAGAAATAAGATAAACAATCCGAATTTTTCGGCGGCAAGGACTCGACGGACCTCTTTCACCTTATTCAGCCCTTCATCTCTCACGTCGTTCGTGCTCAAGGATTTTTCAGAAGACGTTCTTCAATAACGAGAGCTATCATAGCCACGTAACGGAGCGAAAGTTCTGAAATTTCGCGCCCACGGTCGCGAGACGGGAGAGCGGCACGATTAATCTCTCCCGCGACTAAGATAAATCGATTACAGTGATCGATCGCGCGAACTAACACTGCAAACTGTCTGGGTTGTCACTTTCAGACTTATTGCGTCGCGCGCGAAGTACGATGACACCATCAACAGTTTGCCAACGGCAATTATTTCCAACATAAATGCGACATTGTCGTCACGCTCTCGGAACACTTAACTGACTGACTGGCGGAGGACTTGTTTCCACGGGTGATAAGACCGCGCCTAAGGAGCCACCTCGTGCATTCGACCTTAGATACGTATCAGTGCACGGTATCTTTACGTATCAGTGAAAGCCGGGAGTTGGCGATCGCGAGATCGTCGGGGTTTGATTGGATGTTTCAATATCGGACAGCGTACGAAACCGTCCGAGTTTCGCTGTCCGAGCGGTTCTTATCAGCGTGAATTCCCGAAGTCTACGATAACATTCATCACAAATGAAAGTCACGATCCAAATAATATTTCAGAATAAACATTTTCGATGTCGTAACTTTAATTCGAATTGTACGTTCCTCCAATTCGCAGGCACGGCAAAGTCTTTTTTTGGGAATAGACAAAAGAAGTTGCGTGGATGTAATAAGCAGAAGTTAACTTTGCATTTCCTGTACATTAACTAGCCACGATGATTCCACGTTATAAACGTCGAGTTAATATCATATACATTACTCGCAGCATATCGTAGTGATCGGTCTCGAAAATTAGTCTCGAATACTGTTATTCGATTGACGTAGGTATTTGCGAAAAATCTCGAATTTAAATGCGCGAATCAAGTGATCTATAGGCTGTCACACGCAAGAAAGCTCAGTACGTAATAATTATATAATTCCGTGGCAAACGGAACATTGAAATCAGCGAGAATTATGATTTAAATTTTCAACCAACGCGCAATAGTTATTACAAAATGCGAGAGGTTAAAACGTTGCGATCAGATTTATGATACAAATTTTACTAATGGAAGACGATTATTCCTCAAAGAATTAAAATAATTGGTATTGGAATAGGTTGCGTTTCAAGTAAAAAAATGCAACGACAAAAAAAAATGATTAATAATAATTTCTGAATGCGGTAACGACATTGACCTACATCAGTGGCGTCAACAATACACGAGGTACACTAGACAATAGCACAATTTATTGCGTTATTGTTAATGCATGCTTATATGTATACGAATAAAAATCTCACGTGCGCTACTTAAAAGAATCCTTGGACAGGAATGACGCAAATACCACCGTAAAGTAGATATCGCAATATGATTCGCGATCATTCGAGAGTCGAATACAGATTTCTTCGTAAAGTCGCGAGCAGTGACTCCTTGACTTAGGTGAATCCTCTTTGATTGGTCGGTGTATTTTACATTTCTCGCTGAAAATTATTCTTCTCTCTCTAGTACATTTCTCATTGTTATTCTTTCTCCTTGAACAGAAAAAAAATATCCATTCCCATTTCAGAGTCGTCGTGAGACTGGGTAGTACCATGCCGTTCTCGCAGGAATTGAACGAATTGCAGGAGGAGGTCAAGCCGCTGTGGAAAATGCCGTCGTGCCCTAGAGATTTCAAAAGGACCAGCGTAGAGATACTCTTCCGAGAGGCTGAGTTCAGACTGGACTGGTGTTCCTTCAGATTAGTAAGTTGTTGATTAAATTGCGCTGTCACAGATGAAACCTCATCTGTCGTGATTAATGTGATATGCTCAACAGAAGTTGTCTCTCGAATATGTCTTCAGCGTGAAAATCTATTGCTTATTTCGCTACGTGTAATGTCCACGTTATTTATCTTCTGCAAAATTACACAAGTACAACTGTATGTGAAATTACACTATTACGCCAATACGAGAGTCTTCAATATATTAATTATTTTTTCGTGGACTATGCAGATTTCCAAGCATTCCAAGTCACTCGACCGTATCGTCATCGCATTTCTTGAGTACTATCAGTCATCATAATCGTTTTTAATGGAATGCAGTTTTAGCTCTGCCGAGTCATCTCAATCAATCAATTTCCACATTTGATTGACGCAATTTTACGTAAAACGCCAATCGTGCAGCAAATCACGCGTTACATCTTTGCTTATATACGATAAACTCTCTTTGTTACGATGGTGAAAGTACAGTTTCCTGTATAGCTGGAGGAAGATCAGCACAGTTTGCAGCACGAAAGTGCCCGGAGGGGTCCCAGTGCGAACGTAGTGGGTCTACCTTCATCGGGCATTTCCGAGCACACGGAGTGGCGTTGGGCCCGTTCGACGAAAGCCAGCATACCGACGAGAAGCTACTTCAAGGAAATCGCCACCACGATTTTCGTGCCGGTCGTGTTGCTCCTCGTGCTGGGCGCCTTACTCAGCACCGCTTTTTGTTTACATCACGAGAAAATGTAAGTGCTCGGTACATCTCGTCAGAAAAAAAACTAGCTTCTGATAAAAAACTGCTTCAAGATAATGCAGATGGCTATCTGCATTCCGAAAAGATTATTTCTCGCAATATTTTTCGCAACAATTTGATTTGCATATTTCTATTTTAGATTAAAATTGGAATTAATTTTTGGGCTTAATTTGTTTTTTCTTACTCCTTTTTATTTTTTATGTTTTTCGATTATATCAGTCTCCACTTTTTTTTGCATTGACGTATAGAAAATCGCTTAAGAAATTCTGCACTGTTGCCGAGAGAGCACAAGATGAAAATGTGCAATATTCAGAGTTTGAACTAGCTAGATAAGATGAATATGAAGTTTTGGTGATCAAGAGTGCAAAACAATATGTTAATGAATAAAAGAATAACAGAAATGGATAAAAGAATAATAACATAAAATATCGACAAATAAACTGTAACATTATATACTATAAACGGCAATAAATTATAAAAAAAAGAGACACACTATATAATGTATTAAACGCGAAAGTAATATGAAAGACTGAAGCGATTTATCATTAAATTTTAATTATAATATATTAAAAAGAAGATAACATATTATGTATTTCCTTTTGCCATTAATATGTATATATTTCGTGAAACCAAATAAAATAATAAAATATGTCGCATTGATAAAAAAAAAGGATAAGGCCGCTCAGAGGCACATGTCACGGACTGTCATTCATGATGAATCAAAGGAATAAGTAAGAAATTTACGTAAGTGTAAAATGTTGGCTTCGATAAACATGAACAGAAGTATTATTCAATTTACGGCATATATAATTACATTAATAATTGTAATGAACGAAGAGCAAATGGCTATTATTAAAAACATAGTTTTATATGCCAGATAGGCGGTCATTATCGAAGAACATCTCAATAACAGATTCGAAGCCGGTGACGTAAACAATCTTTTCTAGAAGGTTTAATTATCAGAACGTCAAGGAATAAAAAAGATTTGGAAGAATGAGGTATAATAAAATTTTCACGAGGACATCAACTTCGAATTAGACAAAGATAAACGTTTATGCGTGTAGCTGCTTGAAAGATTAAGAGCTATTTCCGTATACTTTATCCAGTTTCCTTTTCTTGCAGTTCAAGGTAATAAAAACGGAGGTCGATTATTTGAGGTCGCTAATTTGCGACTATTAAGAGGTCGCTAATTTGCGACTATTAAGTTGCAAAGAAGCAGACATTGTTATTTTGAGAAACACGCACAATAAAAAATATTAAAATTATATAGTCATTGGGGTAATACGCGACATGAATAACTATTTGCAGAAGAGTTCAGGATCGGAATTTTTATACGTCTGATGTAATTTTTATACGTCCGATATGATTATGATCTTATTATGGACTCTATGTGCGTCACGGTTATCTTGCACATATATACATATTTAACCGGTAAATACGACTACTTTAACTCGTTGAACGTCAAACCTGTTTGGGTCCGAATCATTAACGGTGATTAAACTGATAACACATCGCGGAACGATGACATTTAATGTCTCGCATATAATTTTCAATATGAGATTTTTCTAAAGATTTACATAGTTTAGTGAGCTTGTTTTTCTGTTCGATTATTTCTATTTACAAATCGTAAATTATCAAAATAATTGTTTGTTATATCTCGTCGATAATTTCCAAATATTTCCAAGAGCATTGCTCCGCACTGATATTTCCCAAAGGAAAGGAAAGAAAAAAAGAAATGGAAAAAAGAGAAAATAAAGAAAGCATAAAGAAGAAATGGAAAGAACATGCGAATCGAGGAAAAAAGAAGAAAAGGAAACATGAATGAACTAATCAGAAGAAAGAGCCAATAATAAAGAGTAATAACAAAGAAAGAATGAGAAAAAAGACATTGATTAAGCAATATGAGGAATTTCATATCTTAATTAATTTAATACTTTTGACACTAAAAACATGTTTTTAATATTTTTCGTAACACTGATATCGCGGTAACGATACATAGAGAAAAAATATATCAACGTATACCTTTTTTTTTAATATTTTAATTACGCCTAGTCACGACGATGACAAAGTGAAATCGTGTCATCTGGTTTTCCTCTCTTTTTAGGCTCTCGTTCGTCATACACTGTTACCATTTTGGTGTATACTTTGGTCTCTTTCAGCCGCGTGTACACACATGATGCCATGCTGGCGCGTGGCGTGCGTGGCGTGCGTGGCCTGCGTGGCGTGCGTGCGTGCACGCGTGCTCTCGTACGTACGTACAATGCATGTACGAACGAACGGGTAAGTGACCGCGAGTGATCGGCACTTTGCGATGAACGACCAGATGTGTATGTGTGACGCGATCGCGATCGGAATGACGCAACGGAATCGCTTATCGGTGAGTGCGTTTACTCGCGCGTTCGCACAGAAATAGACCGGCGAGTGTCCGCGATCGACATTGATTTCCGCCAATCGGCGATCACACGGCGCGTGCTAATTTTACATTTCGATCGATGTAAACATCAGCATCTCTCATTGAGTTTTGTATTTTCTGAATCGGCGTCTGGTCGCGCGTCTACTAAAAATTTCCCACTTATCGCAGATCTTTCGTTCACGATCGCGATGCGCCGAGCGACGATCGATGTGTCACTGCTTAAACAAGACACTGTCATTCCGCAAATTTATGTATATCTATGTAAAAAAAAAAAAGTATTCTGTACGCTTCATCGAACAAACGGTCACAGATAATCAATAATACATTCTTTGATTTAAGAACAAGTATACCAAGTTTTTTGTTTCAATAGTACGAATCATATTAAAAGTTTCCTTTGAAAAAATACATTTAATTATGAAAAAGTAATCTAAAGAATAATTATTTGGTACGAAAATGTACAAACAATTATTTAATACATATTCCCAAATACAAGGAATCTAAAAGCTGTCCAAAGGAAATCTAAAGAACGTTAGAGATCGATCTTTCTTTTAATATTATGCGTGTACGTATTGTATTATTTACTTTATATATTAGATCCTACATGTTCAGTATGTGGAATAGGATGAGAGTTTCTAATAATATCTACAAGTCCGCAAAATGACATAACGCTGTCTGAGATGAACGCTTCAATTGCTGGTCACAAAAGCGGTGTGGCCCGGCTTCACTGCTGTAAAAGACGTGAAGTGCCCGGAAATGATGCTTACAATGCCTACAAAAGCCACTTTACGAAGTCACCGCGTAAGTGCTACCATAAAATCTATAGGCTTTATGCGCTTATGAAAACGTGCTCTAGCTAAGTATCTCCATATTTTTACATCCGCATATAAAATTGCTAGGAAAAATATATCGATCCATTCATCACTTCATTATTATACGATATTATTAACTAGATTTTTCTAAAGTATAATAAGAATTAATAGTTATCAAATCTAGCGCGCGTATACAATTTCTTCTAGTTCTACTATCATTTCTTACAAATTATTATTACAAATTTGTTATTACAAGTTATGAATTTAATTTGGCGTATATGTTTCCCTTGCAAGCGTCATTTCGTCATCTTATCGGCGACTTTACGAGACACTTTTACCTTGGCACGCAGCATGCAACTTGTTACTTTTGATAATACCCGTTAATCTATTATAATTAAGCGTTTTGCGTCAAAGTACTTATCGTAAATATTTAGCGAAACCTCTTGAACCTTTCAATGATAATGCGTATTCGAAACGATACATGAAATCGCATCTAATCTAATCGTCAATATTTTTTGCGACCGAGAGCAATAAAACTGAGGTAATTTATAAACAGCTCACATCAATATACGAGTTACGACCGTCGGGAAAATAAACACGAATCTATAATCGCTCTGTTCGCCAAGTGTAATAAGTCTATTATCGAACATCCGGCACATAATAATTATGAAACGCGTTTGGTAACGTAAATATTATCAATCATAATACAATCTATTTTTGCAAAAATGTTTCCGATGACGTTTATAATTTACTAATAAGATGCAGATGTAACAATTTCGACGAGCTTCAACATCAGAGAGATTATCCTCCAGCCTGTGGCAGAGATCCCGATTAGCGGGAAAAAAAAATGTGCGTTTGTCACGTCGCCGGTAAGATCGTTGCCACGGGCGAACATCGTGGAACTCGATTCGCGTCCATAATTAGAAGCGTATCGCGAGGCGCGATTAGGCGAAATGTGACGGAACTTGGTTAACGGCTGTAATCAGGTCGCCAGTTATTCGTGGTGCCTGATAATCGCACGACCCTGCCGAAAGCGCGCTCGCTCGCTCGTACGCACGCACGCACGCACGCACGCACGTACGCAAGCACGCACGCTCGAGTGCGTGCGTGCCTTTGAGTATACACCGTGGGGCGCAACAATTTTCATCGACTTGTCGCGATAACAAGTCAATTACGTCGTGCCACACGTGACGATTGACGCAACGCTGACGCATCCGCGTACATTTCGCGTGGCCGCGAGCGGCATCGGGATCGATTTGAATAACGTTACGATCGATTCGTACAATGCGTTTCCGCGTTTTTTGTCGAATCGCTCGCGTTCTCCCGAGGGGATCCCGGCAAAACCGCATCGCGCGATCAAACCGCGCGTGTGATCAAGGCAATCGCGCGGTTGATAATGCGAACAGCGCTGCGCAAACAGGAACAGGACTCGCGCGTCATAGGCGTGATATGACTCGTTAAAAAGTTCTGGCGGTTTCAGAGAGTGAGAGAAAGACAGAGAGAGAGAGGAGAGAGAGAGAGAGAGAGAGAGAGAGAGAGAGAGAGAGAGAGAATGAGAGTAGAGAGAGAGAATGAGAGGGGAGAAAGAGAGGGAGAGGAAGAAAATCTATCCGTGAAGAGGATCTATTCGTTGTGGCAGATGAGTCGTAGAGGCCTGTCACAACGGTCCGGAAAGAGTCCGGTTTTCTTCGGATTTATACGATATTATACGAAATTATACGATAAACGGATTTTACCAGCGCACTCTCTTCGGTTTAGAATCTTATCGACTTTCTTCCGGTTTTACGATAAATCCGTGGATATTAATTGGAAGGGAATTTCAACCAAGTATCATGAGGAATATTGTCCGTGCGCGTGTATTTAATATTTCATTGTGCTATATTGTTTTGTCAATATTTTATTTTACATTGCATTGATGGAAATATTGGCGAAGATCTTGATTTTTATCACGAACAAAAGATGTATAAGATAATTTTGTAGAAAAAAGATAATATTTTATTGCACATTTTATTGCATTATTATATCGTCGTTTGTAAAAATGAATACAATTTTTAGAAATATACGAATAATTAATTTAATGCTTTTTTTTAGTAACAAACGAATGTTGTTTATAATTTGTCTGAAAAAAATTTCATAAATGTTTATACGGGTTCTTCATTTTTTATTATACCTTATGTGTGTTTGTGGCCCGAGGCCCTGTGACTATTGTATTATGACGTAAATGGTAATTAAAATACCAGTCATTATGAAAAAAATAGCGTAATATTACTAGAGCCTCATTGCAAAGAACAATTTTTGTTTTTAAACATAACTTGATTTGTCGGTGTCACTATAATTTATGATTGACGCAAATATTAACGTTCAATCGATCGGATAAGATTCACATTAATAATATTAATTGATTAATCGTTATATAAAGGCATTGCTGCGATGGAAAAAATACAGATATTTATATTTTATTTTCCTAGGAAGGATCCGGAGTCTGATGAATATTTCGATGAACTCTTTAATATTTTTCTCTTGAAAAAACAACCTGTCAGGTATATTTACTATTCATTGAGTGAATCAACATATCTGATATTTTTAATAGTTACTAATTTTCGCAAAGTGACGCGATATTACTAACTTCGTGTTTTTAGTGTATATAGCGTAAATATATCGCGAATTAATAGAAGTATCGACCAAATCTCGCATTTTACTAAATTCGAGTGAAATTCATTTTTTTCGATTAATTTCATACATTTTCTAAGCTTTTCTAATTTATCTGCATGTTTCCTACGTAATGACTCGTACGTTGGAACATAGCAATACTAAAATGGATAAACGCTTCTTAAAACCTTGCAAATGAAGATTAATGATATATTTCTTACGCGATAATTATGACGAGAAAATAACGGCTAGCGCAGGTTTTTAAAAGTGGATTTTAATTTTATTCACTACTTCTTCGTTGCATGGAAACGCGAAATCAAAATCCGAGAATCATAAGAAATTAATATCCCGCTAAATTTAAATGCCTACCTTAACGAGTCGTTCCTATTTTTACAGCGAGAAGCGAGAACCTACGCCAGGAGAAGGAGTCGGGAACAATGGAATACAAATGGTGCAATACGCTATGTCGGAGAGAGGCACCCTGAAGTCCCTGTCAGCTCAGCCATCGAGTCCGAATGATTCCCTATCGCGAAGTCCAAGGTAGAAATTTGGAACAAACCGAACATAATAATCGATTTCGAGTTGTTCAACACTCTACATATAGAAAGATCTAGGTGTAGGTTTGTTACGCGCAAATTTTCCGTGACGAATTAAGTGCGGAGACAACGTGCATTTTTTTAATACACACGTGCATTTTTTTACAACAAAATACGCACGCAAGCCATACCGGTTTCGATCTCTAGAAAACTACGAGTGTATAATATTTGATGAATATTCAAGTACTCTTTTTTCTACTCCGGAACTCTTTCTCGAAAGATTCTGATTCAGATAAGATATAAAAAAAATCACGATAGATTATCTCGTTTATTACGTAGCAGCTTCTGACATAGCAGGACATCATTTCTTGGGAAGAAAACGCGACGCTGTGCGTTAGTCGCAGGCGGATTCATTAATCAAAACGTATGCATGTATCATAGTACTATTATACAGCTATAATTATTTCCAGTAAAAAGCACTTGGATGCAATCGCATTGTGAATCTGTTACGTGGAAGTCGTAAAGAGGCACTTGTACGAAGTCAAATGTTCTTCATTTTTTTTATAACCGTTTTTTATTACGTAAAAGCATAAATGCATTTATGAAATGAGCTGTTTATAAGCCGTCTATGACGCGTTTCGGATAATTTAGATCTCGAAGACAATATTGCGAAAAAAATTTACAAAAGGGCATTTGAAGAAATATTTAAGGAATTTAGGCGTTAATAGAATTTTCGCTCGTTTTATACATTTATCTATAATCCGAATGTTGTTTTGATGTGATGTTTCGTTATTATCTTTTAGGACCTCTGGCGAACGCTGCAATCCATACATTCGTCCAAATCCACCACCTTACACCGGACCTAGTAGCTTGTAAGTATTCTTCAAATCGCGGCTTTCACGTGTATTTCATATTCGTTTCTAACTTGTGTGTCATGTATTCATTTTATTTCGTGTTCGCAGCGCCGGTTTACGTGCCGATTTCTGACTACACGAGCAGCCCGCGAAAACCTGGTTCTGCTAAGTGAAATATAGTTCGCGGGTGGCTTTTAATCAACGTTCCAAGAAAGGCGCGCCGGATATCGCAAACTCGAAACCGGCTCCAAATTTACAAGTTGAATCACATTAAATAGGCACGTCGCTTATTATCGGTAACATCGGTATTGCGTCACGCCTACCAAGCAGTATATGCCGAGTGATTCGTGTAGTGATATTAGGTATTCCCCCTGGGAAGTCGATTTGCGTTTGAAACATTTTCCGAAATCTCTCTTCGTAAATAGACGTATTGTTTAAATATAAATAGAAAAGCGTTTTTTTCCAGTAGTACGTAATAACTACGTACATTGTAAGACTGTGCTATACCAAAGCTATGCAAATAAGATAAGAAGGGGAAAAGGGAGAAGGGGTGAGCAATAGCTTCCTGAAGTTAACGGATCTTAAAATTTTGGTTAAATATAACTATTTTCTACTATTTGTACTAATTATAAATTATAGTGATAATTTTTTTAAATATATCGATAGTGCTACGTATAAATTTTAATTACATTTTCTAATATCTTTTAAAGATTTTGTAATATTAAATTTGTGAACAGATAAGGAGCCCCTTACCTTTATACGATCTGAATTATAATGATAAGATGAATATTATGTAATATAAATTCTACTTTATAACAATTGTAGCGAAGTTTGTATTAGGATGAAAAATAAATATATAATATTAAAAAGATTGTATTTTGATATTTGTAATCTTATTAATAGACATTGAAAAATGGAGTTTATTATTTCGGTAATAAAATCAAAACTTGATTCAAAAAAAATAGATCTTTGTATTAATTTTAACGAACTGGCGATCATCTTAGCATAATTATTGTGAAATCTTTCAATTTATAACGTCATTTTCATATAATTTTTGTACAATCTGTCTATCGAGAAGAATTATTTTGTTATATATACCTTAATATCTTACTTGTAGTTAATTTTCTATCGACTGCTATGTTTGAGGAAAATTGTGATGCATCTTGGATAAGACGAGGACGAGGAATAAGAATGAGAGCTGGAATCCCCCTGGAAAATACAAAAGAATGAGTAAAAAAATCTTTCGATCGTGATTTTGCAAAAATGAACAATTAAAGACTAACCTTTTGCCTTCCGACCGAAAATTGCTCCAGGTAGCATTGCTATATATTCACGGTACGCGAAAAATTCAAATTTCGGAGCGACATTGACGTACCAGGCGCCCAGGCGTTTTGTTTATCTACTCAATCTGATCCAACCTAGCCCGACTTCATTGCTGGGCAGGGATGCGCACGCGCCGCTCGCATCCACGCCTGCCAGCTATTCAACAGGGGCGCTCGGCGGGGCCGCGCGACGTGCGTGTTGCGTGTTTGCATACGTGCGAATGAACGAGTGAAGTGCCGTGGATCTTCGGCGTTTCGTGCCGCGACAAAAGTTCCGGTACGCGAAGCGTCGGGGTGTTCGCGCGCGACGAAAACGCGAGTCGAACGGATTTCGAACCGCGCCCTCCGCCCCTCCCCCCTCTCTCGTGAGTCATGGCTGGTATTGTACCGCTGTCTGGTAGATCCGGCAGAAAACAGTGGACGCTACACGGTAATCATCACCGAAACGCGGCTCCCGGTTTGGAATCGTGCGAACGCGTCCCGGAACTGTCCGGGCGAGAATAGCGGCTGACTTCACACCGGTCGACGTACACGTGACGTGTGACGTGACGAAAACGGCGCGACATTCGACGCGTTTTGATACTTGTCTTTTGAACGGTCGAACAGACGGACACGGGGAAACAATGAGGATTGATTCCCAATAATTTTCTTTGTCTAATGTCTATGAATGTAGAGTAACTTTAATTTCGGTTTAACTTACTTTACATTTTTTTTTAGTTTAAAAATAGAAAAAGTGTAAAATATGCATGTAACAATTACAATTAATTTACATTGGTAAAATAGATATAAACAATCGGGCTATGAGATTACATAGCAATTGATATTCCTTAAAAATTGTTTTCTCTTTTATCTTGTTTTTTTTCTTACCTTTTTCTTAGAATTGAAAAATGATAAAAAATTAATTAAACTGATATCGAAATTAATCTATACATTGATAGAAATTGATATTATGTCGAAATTGTAACACTCTCAATAACTTCAAGAATAACTTGAGAACAATATTTAATAAAAATTAAATATAATATTGTGCTTATATATCGTTTGTGAAACCTAAATATGAAACCTAATTAATTTACAAATTGTCAATATCTCATATATAGGCCTGTTTTTTTTATCATTGCACTAATGGCTGCATTTGACACTAGTGTAAGAATCTTTAATGTAATTGATGTAATTGATTTTTGCTCTTAGTTCCTCATGGATTTAAACCAATCCTATTAAAGAATCTTAACAGCAGCTGCAAAGCTATTTTCTCTGCTGAATGCAGCCAATTTCTTTTCTTACTTTCATCAAACTTCAAACATATACATCTTTCATTTTAAGTATGTACGACAAATGCACATTAGTTCAGCTATAAAAAATAGATCTTATATGATACATGCGTTGAGATAATAAACATAAATTCTCATTAGTTCTCATTAGTTTTTTCTTCTGATTAAATAGCTAATTGTAAGTCCTATTGATAGATGGGCCTAAAGGTTCTCTTAGACGATTACGCTCCCGATTGGCAGAAGACGGCTGTCCAGAGTCTCAAGTGATTTTAGCTAAGCAATTGTTAGAGGAGCAATGTGGTAAGCTGGAGCATATACTTCTTGGCAAAATTTTCTCAATTTTATTTCCACTGTTATGTGATGTGTTATCTGTGTATAATTTTTGACATATATTTAAAGAGCTTGATGTTGATAAAGAAGAGAACGCAAAATTGGGTGTTTATTGGCTGACGAAAGCCTCAGAACAAGGAAATCTGGAGGCGACTGACATTCTTAGAAAGTGCTTGGCAACCGGTCGTGGTATCACGGAGCATAACTACTACGACGTGAAAAATTGTTTAGATATGACACAGGATGAGAAATTGGCTAGAAGAGCGGCGAGAGAAATGTTCATGAGGTAAAGAATAAGTAATTAAATATTAGACGAGTAAATAAATCTACACTATGTATCATATATTAAATATAAAATTATCTTTTTTCTGTTAGCTTATCAAACGGCGAAGATTTTATAACTACGGAGCAGCTACAAAAACGTATGAGAAATTTATCGACTCCATCGACTAGTAACATCGATTATTTTCATTCTAATAATACCTCTAGCAACTCGTCGCAAAAGGGACTGAGCGATAATGATAATGATTGCTTCCCAAAAAATGGGCTTCCTGATGATTCCCCGTCCACTAAGGATGAAGATCGAACGAACGACGTTCACGGTAAAAAAAATGTCTAAATGTCTTTTTTTGATATTTATTACATTACGTTCTTTATCTTATGTACTTTGTTACGTGATCGTAGGTTGGTCGGATCAGGGTGAGAAGATTACAGAGGCTGCTCTAGTGTCCGCGGCTGCGAGTTACGCGCGTGGAATGCTTCCGATAGTATCGCATGCTCTCTGCATGGTGGATCCCTCTGACTTGGCGCTGGATACGATACCACTACTGCAGAGACCATTTATCCATCCATTCGCATCGCTGAAACGTCTCTACAGCTGGTTGGTCGAAACTCTGGGTCACAGAGGAACATCGATCAAAAGGATTCTCTTTACATCAAATTTACATATTTTCCTATTACTCTTACTGTATTCTTTGTTCGGCACGGAGAGCCTAATACTTTTTATACCAATGGCTCTCTACTATCTCTCGTTTATAGTCATGGTAATAGCCACCTTTCAAATGCTCCAACGAAAACGTGAGTTCAATGATTTTCGCGTGTGGTCGGGCCTGTTTCTCAGTTACTCGGGTGGAAATCTGAATCCCGAGGAAGCAGAGTATCAATTCTGCCGCAACAACCTAAAACCGTATGGACATTTCTTTCTCGCACTGTTGCTGAATTTGATGATCTACCCTCTGATAGCCCATCAATGGACTCCACAATCTGAATTCACTATAATAGCGGTCACGCTCACTCTTATTACGCTCTGCAGCTTCATGTGGAGGGATTCCTCGCGATTTCCTGATTTTCTAGCTCTCTTTAGTTTCGGCGTGCATGTACTTGCCAAGTATCCGTACGAAACGGATATAGTTGTGGCGCAAAGTTGGAGATTCTTGGACATTAGAGTGCCAACATTCGCCTCTTACGTTGTCGGCAATGGGATAGAATTTTGTCTAAATTTCCGCGCCGTTTTTATCTCTTGATACCGGCAGTCTTCGCGAAAATGGCTGGAAGAGACAACTGGCGCGGCACGTACCAGATTTTGATACCTCATTGCGTTACTTTGAGCTGGTGGCAAATTGCGGTCTTTAGTTCTCAAGGTGCTACATGGTATGGCTTGATCAGAGGCGCTCTCGCACTAGTTGGCATGGTTCTATTTCTTCCAATCGCCGGTATAGCTTCCATCATCTTACCGATTATAGCCATTGCCAAATACTTATCGGAAAATGATCTGGCCATGAGGATAGCGATTACTACTGTACTCGGAGGAATGCTGTTTTTTGCTTCATGTTATTTGAGGAAAACCAGAGTATCGAGATTTAATTGGATCATTACTGTTATACAAGTACGTGTATCACTATATTTCTTTATTTTTCATCTTAAACTCAGATATTTTTTACATATTTAATGTAATATATAATATATAATAAATATTTTTTAATAAATAGATTGTTCTTGGCGTTGGCGCTGCGACATTTTTATCGTGGCCGATGATAATGGAATATAATCCGGATTCTTACGATGCATCGTATGACGTTGTTTCTACTTTAACATGGGATCAATATCAGAATTATTGTCACCAACCTGCATGGGAAGAACTATCGTCGAAAGCGCAAGTACAAGTGCAATGCGCTCAATTGGAAGGCATACCTGTCTCATGGGAAGGCTACGTAACGAATATTAGAGTAAAAGCGATAAAAAACAATATTGGAATTATATTAAACAAGCTACCTGACAACATTAGAATAATACTTAGTTGTATGTACGGAGAACCGTATGAAGAGAATTGCAATTCGGGTGATGACATTCGCAGGAAGAATTGTAAACACATCACGAGTACTCAAAAGAAAAGAAACAAATGTTATATTTCAGCGTGGAATCAATACGAATTTGAGATATTCGTTAAGATGAAAAATGGTATATGGGGAAGTACCACGGAGGTACGTCTCGTTGCGGACCATTCTTTTACTAATTTTAGTCTGAATATATATCCCGGTGACAAGATTTGGTTTTCCGGTACGCTTTTAAATAATGGCTTAGAAACAGAATCTCTTCTCGGTGGTGCCGTACCGCACATCGATTTGGAAGAAGTAGGATGTCTTGCATGCAATTCCGTTGATTTGAAAACATCTTATAAACGTTATAGGTATCGTGTAAGTTTAAGATCTATTATCAGGGATTTTTGTCTCAGTATAAAGACTGTATTGAATTTTCTGTTAAATCCGATTGTGATGTTCAAGTAATTCTGATGATTAAATATCTTTAGATCTCTCTAGCTTTTTAGACCTAACGTAGTGGTGCTATTTTGATATCTAATTACTATCATAGTTTGTTTACCATGATTTATATTAAAGAAAAATTACATTATTATTAGAATTTCTAGATTGAACAAATGAAATTTGGATATAAAATGCAAGATTAATTCATCGATATACCAAGCAAATACAATTTTAAACAAATTTGTTATCTATATACTTACAGTATAAACTGCAACATGTTTATCTTATAGATGTCCTAAAACATTTCGGCATTGAAAATTTATTAAAAGATTTTCATTTTCACGGCAAATATTTTAATATGATACATTGTATTGTTATTATAACAAACTATTTTTTGCATTATATTGCAAACATACTGCGCTGTACAAAATAGCATATTATATGATAATATGCTAATTATGGTATAAAAAAACTAAAAGAAGAAACTGTTATGTATAATAAAGCAGAATTTCCTTAATGTTTGACATGCATGTAAATATGTGTGTGATATGAAAGTAGAAAATAGTTCAAATATCTCAATGTTACCGAATGCCTCAGGCAATACATTAATAGATACATTAGGCTTTCATGGCCAAGTCATAATTCGCTTCAGAGTATTATATACGACATATATTTTAAGATTTATATAATTTTCCTAAGCATTACTGCCAGTAAAAAGAAAAAAAAAGAAAAAGAGAAACGCTTGATATTTTTGTATTCCGTTTTCGGAGAATGATAAGATATCCCTTTGATCTTGTTTTAATATTGTATGTAGTAAAAATTGTATTTCTCTTATTCTAGATTAGTATGCATACATTACATCATGATAAAGTTTTAATTTTAAGCAAAGTAGGGCAGTATGCATTTTAGTGTACATAACATTAAAAGAAGAATGTTTCATAAAAAAGTTTTGTGTAGCATTGTCATATATGAAAATTCTATTAAAGTATATCTCAATATCTTGAAATTCAGTTCTAAATATTGCAGCTTTTAAAAAACACTGAAAATATATGTACAATACAAACAATATATGTACAATACAAACAACAATTCACTATCACATTAATGTTAAGTGTTTAGATCTACAGATTACTAACAAACATATCTATCTGTAGAGATATAAGAACAATTTCGTGCGTCATTGTATTACTCAAAGACAATAGGAACCAAGATCAGTATAGTAGCAAAGAGATAAAACAGATATAGATGTGCCTTGGTGTTTCCGTTTGAATGATTTTAATGTTGATAATAAAAGTATTCTATTTGCTTCTTCAAAGCAAACAAATGGATTAAAGCGTTAAAACATCATGAACTTTCGTATTCTGATGTGCAGATGTATATTTTTGTCATGAACAATGTATATTCAGAAATATAGCATGAAATTAAAAATATCTTATTGTCTTATTCTAATATTATGCATAATAGATTCTAATACCTCATACCTATTATTATGAAAAAGTACTTTACTATTTTACTATGAAAAAGTAAAGAATCCTTTTTCTTAGAATTATATTTATTTCGTATTTGGCAACAGATCATAATACATTATTGTTTTGAATGATAACATCATGTTAATAACAAGACAATGTTTTTATTAAACAGTTTGGTTCCCTTTTCTTAATTTCCATATAAAAGGATTACATAATACTATGGAGTTTTATACTATATGCAATTATTTTGCATCGAAATACATAATAGAACCCTTCATATTACATATGCTTTTGTACGATTTTAGATGTCACTCTAACATTGCACAATTCGTATAGTTTAGAATTGCATTTATAATCTGCAATCACAAACTCTTTTTGCAATATGTAAGCTTCAAATACGTTTAATTTTTTTATATACAAATATAAAATCTATATTAATAAAGTCTTTATCATTGTATCTAATCTGCATACGAAAATAATTACTTAATGTGCAAAAAAAAGAAAACTGATAAATAAAAAACAGGATTTTTATATTTTATTACCTTAAGCAAGTATCCCTTTTGTTTGTGATGTGTACTTTCTTAAACATTTAAAATCACTGGACTTTAGAATTAATTTCCACCTAATCTAGATAAAGGTTTTGGAAAAAATGTATATTATAATAAAAAATCTTGTGTGTGTGTGTGTGTGTGTGTGTGTGTGTATGTGTGCGTGTATGTGTGTGTGTGTGTTGGCTTGAAATTAATATATGTAATATACAAGTTTTTCCAAAATCTTTCTAAAAATACAGTTAATAATGTACATGTAATAATACATTCATTATATCTTTCCATGCTATGTATTTTGTAGAGAAGTCAATTATATAAAAATTTATTTCGTTAAATTCCTTGTGTGGCATTTCAAGAAGCAATAACTTTGGTAAAGGAACTGTAATAAATACATATTTTTACTGACTAATAAAATCAAGCAAATGTACGCTGAACCCAATCAACAACATCAATAATTAATCGCTCGTTAGGGCAATATTATTCAAATATTGGAATTATAGAATATTTCTATACGCTCATACACACACACGCATATACATACGAACATCTCTCCTTTATCCTATATTTTTTAAAGATAAAAGAAAAAGAAAAAATTTATATCAATTTTTGAACAAAAGAATCAGATAAGGATAGGGATCTTACGAACATCTCACTTACATATGAAAGACCTTGGATAAAGGAGAAACCAATAAGCTGCAACGCTCAAGAGCACATATACACACATACACTATCTAAGAACTGACTTAGTAAAATCGTTTTCTATTTTTTTCCTGATGTTTCTGATATATCATAATAGCAATGACAACACAAGCTATTAACGCAAGTGCACCAAGTAACATCACTAGGAAAAGCTTTATACCACTCATGCTAGATTGCTTTGGATCTTCAATACGTTCTGAAACAAAAGAAATATTGGAATACAAATTTATATAAATGTTTATAACATGTACAATGATATCTTATTGTTAATTGCATACCTCTTGGTGCGTCATAGAACGCTGCTGATGGCACGATCTGAGATCTGTCTTCTTGATCTTTAGGCTGTAAGTTGACATATGATGTTTTTAAATAGTTTTAATTTATTGATCGTTATGATTAAATATTTCATATTTTTATTGATAAGATATGTTAATATATTTCATATATGGAAATATAATGAAAATATATACATAAATTAGTACTTACGTCATCTGGTAAATCTAATTCAAACAAACGAATTGATAATATATCATGATTGTCAGACAGATCACCTGTAGTAGCGGAAATTCCAATATAATATCCTGTTGGAAGCTTAACTTCATTCACTTGAAAACATTGTTTCCATGCTGCTTTATTGGCAAAGTCTGTGGAAACTTTATTGCAAAAAGAAAAAACATTATAAGAAATGTGTTAACATATACATATGAATATAGTCAATCTCATATATACACTTGCATATCAACAAAATGCTAATTATAAAGATGACACATAAAGCAGAAAACAAAGTACAATCTAACATGACAAAACAAAGTACAAATAATGAATAAAAAGTATAAGATGTTACGATTTATCAAAATTTCAGTAATGACACATAAAAAGTAGAGTATATTTCAATACTTAATTATGTTTGATTTTACATTACCAGTTAAGGTGTCCCTTTCATATCTTATAGCTATATGTGTATCATGTTCTAAATTTCTAAATTTTGCTTCACATCCTGCAAGTTGTGTATGAGTGCCATCGCGGTCATGATCATAATGCAGAGATCCATTGTTGACCATTGCTGAGATGTAAGGATGTTGATGCTGTTGCAAATATATTTTTCATTAAAAAATTAAGATACAAAAGAACAAAAATATAAGAATTTCAGTCTTCGGGTAATTGAAATGCAAAATTATAGTATTTTAATCTTAATTATTTAAATTTTATAAAACTATACTTAACATACATTATGTTGGCCATTATGATTGCTGTATGTATCAAGTATCACTGCTAATCCTTGGAAATAATCTTGACTTCCAAATACTGGACCTGATTTCATTCTTTCTTTAGCATACCATATGGCAAAACCATCTCCAAACAAGTCTTTTCCCTTTCCGTGTACTTTGAATTGAACTTGCAGTTCCCAATTTCGTACATGACATGGCTATAAGCATAAGTTTCAAATCTTGATTAGTAAATGAATACACATATAATTTCTATATTAAAGATATATCCAAAACATTGTATAATACTTGCCACAGAATTCCATAAGGCACCTTGTTTACTTTGTAAATCAGATGTTAATCTGATATAATTATTAGTTACCATTGTACTCCCCATGAAATCCCAGTAAGGTATTGTCATACCTGTGCCTATTACATTAAAGAAAATTGTATGAATAAAATTATACATCCATAATAAATGTAGAAAACTAGTATTTAAGATTTAGTTTTACTTAGATACTAATATGTGTCAATGTTTATTCATTCACGTTGCCTTTTATTTCAGCTCTTTTTGTGATGTACAATAATAGATCTCAAGGATAAAGTAAGAAAGGCAAAAAGTATTAATATTAACATGTATTAATATTTAAGCAAAACTATAAATCTTAGACAACACTGATATAAAAAAAAATAGATTTTGAAGATTATAAATGAAGATTATATATTAAATATAATTTCAAAAGTAAAATAACATTATTATAATCTAAATATAAAGAAAATAATGTATAATATAAGGTGTCTCAAAATTTGTGTCTCTATTATAACAAAAAAGTTCTCGAAAAATTAAATAAAAAGTTTATTTAAAACTTTTTATTTCAAACAATGGTTTATGAAATATAAAGGTTATAAGCTGGATAAGATTCAGATTACTATAATTCATATTAATATAATAACATTAATAATCACATGATCACCATGATTTAAAGTGCCTGTTCATTATCTCATGCATGACTTGCGAACTTTATGAATAAATGTCTATTTAAAAGTGATATATGATTAGCAAGCTTACAAGCTTTATATTTCACTATTGTTTGAAATAAAAATTTTTAAATAAACTTTTTATTTAATTTTTCGAGACTTTCTTGTTATAGTTTTTTGAATCACAAATTTTGAGATACCCTTATAAAGGATAAAGATATAAAATAATAAATAAAAATATATTTTAATATACTAGCTACTATTATATAATATTATATAAACTATCCTTAAAATTTACAATTTATTTTAAATTTATTGAATAAAAATACTTATGGCAAGTTATTAAAATTTCACTAATATTCACATATTTATATCATCTATTATTTCATAATGTTGTAATTTTACGTTATTGTAATCTCTCTCTCTTTAAATATTATTTTTAGTGTCATATCACTTAACAATTCTTTTAAATTATTCTTTTGATTCTTCAAGAGATTCTACAATTACAAAAAATAAAGTTCGTGTTTTTTTTTAATGAGCTACAACCTCTTTGACTTATGCACAGTTACGTTGATCGAATCTTGAATTATGCGTATATGACACGTAGATGAGTCTTTCATTTATCTATAAAAAATAAATTCTCTGCATTAATTAATCGCCACATAACCTCAAATTGGTTCGCGAAGATTGCTCGTAGATAATAAATGAATAAATAATTCCTTTGTTGGCGCATGCGAGAGGAGGATCCTATAGCGAAATTTTCGAGAGATAAATGAAATCGGTGAACCTTGATATGGCCTAATCAGAGAATGTTCTCGCTTCATGTAGTCCTTGGTATTCCATTCTGTAGCGAAGGATTCCAGGACGCCGACGAGCAGAAGGAGCCACGAAATCGCACTCATGCTGATTCTGGATTTGGAAGAGGCCGTTTCCCGCACGTACATACGTATTTTTCGATGAAAAACAATAAGCGCGCGAATGCAAGGATCACAAGGCGCTCGTTCGAAACAATCACCGCTCCAATACCACGAGAATAAAAGCCATTCACGCGTTCTCCAAGCTGACCAACGTCATCGTCACAGTCATCCAGATACTACCGGAGATAGTTAATTTTATAGTTGCACAACTTGAGAGAATCAAATAATAGTAACAGTCGGTAAAATCAGTGCTCTTCAATTCATCGAATCTACAATCTCCAATAATCCTATATTTTAGTTGAATTTCTTGCACTCGCACAAAAAGTTCTCTAATTGTACTGACTACAGTCAAATTTGCACGAAATTTATATAATTTCAATATCTTAAATTTGTTCTCATTCCTTGCATTCCTGGTACTTTTTTTATACCTAAAAGAGATAAACATAGTGCAAACATTGGAGAGAGAAAGAATAAGAAATGAGTGCACAAAGTGCACGAACGCGAACAAACTTCTTAGTAATATCTCGTCGATGGTGGAATGTGCCGCGTTCGAATCATTCTATGATTTCTTGCGATTTTTATTCTTCAAAAGTGAATTTTACGTTACAAGAAATTCTCGGAAGGATCTCGCGAAACTACAAATTTCATGGTAAAATTTATTATAGACTTCAACGGAGATTTAATCATGAATTATCGTATATATTATATTTCGTCACATATTATTATTATTAATTCTTTATTTCAGTTAGCATGATTTTATTTTCATATTAACACATAATTTATAATTTTCGATCTTTCGAGAATCGCAATATTATTCGCTCAACAATTTCAATGTGACGCCATTACGAACGTCGCCCCACTTACGCGTGGCGCGACTTAACGGAATTTCATCACACGCACACAACGAAACGGCGAAGGCGAGCCGGTTGTATGTATATGTAACCTACGCACGCGATTTACACAAGCGTGCGTCATACGCCCGGTCATCGTTTGTGGCTTCCACTCTGTTAATTTGTTGTTCGGTTCGTCGTCCGATCGCTCATAATCTAAAGAATCCCGCGTGTCGCTTCCCTCGGGAAGCGTTCGTAACAGCCGCTTTGCCCGCGAATTTTTTTTCGAAGGCGTCTGTGTAGCGGCCGGTTGCGGGCGCGCGTCGCGCCTGCGCACGCGCGTGTATCATCGTGCCATCTCGTCGTGCGCGATCGGTCGGCGATTGTATGGCGTCCTGCGTAGTGCGTACGTGTGCTTGAACCCGACGGAGACGTTCGTCCCGCTCTCGTGCACGAGATCCCGACGCCCGCATTCGTACGGCGAGGTCCACGTCGCGAGTAGTCGACCGCGACGAGAGTAAGAAAGGGCGACTATTAATATTTGAGCAAACGAGGCAAGCGAGCAAAGAGAGAAAGAGAGAGAGAGTGAGAGAGTGTGTGTGTATGTGTGTATGAGAGGCTGCGTGACGGTGAAGGCGCGAGAGAGCATTAGTAGAGAAAGATAATAGACGTATTAACTTACGTCGTACGCTAAGTGAGGGATCTCACGCGGGCTTGTTGCGTTTGCATCAAGCAAGATCGAATAAGATAAAAAAAAGGAGTTTAACCGGGTGCGATTAATAGGCACGCCACTAATCGCTGTCGTGGTCATGGGTAAGACGCCAAAGAAGGCGGCCCCTGGGGGCGATGAGAGGAATTTGTACGTTCGGAGGCTCAAAGCAGCGACCGCGTCGAGAGCTTCTGAATCTAGCTTGCCCGAGAGACAACGCGAGTCCGAGAGTTCGAACAGGTTTGTAGAACCAATCAGCAACAGAGCGAATTGCGAGTTCCACCAGAGTTTCTCAGTAACGGAATGTATGCTTGTCCTTCCGAAAGTCTGCCCGGATCTGGTTTCTTATGGAGTAGCTTTCTTCGGAATGAAGAGCTACGGATTGAACCCGGAGCTCCATACTTAATTGCATATTTATAAATACTTGGAACTTGTTAGTTGCTTGCCGCTGTCGTTCAGAAGGTGTCGTTTTATATTCTGTAATATTTGTTAAAGAGTTGAGATTTTATATTGAAATCATTATTTTGTAATATTTTCTTTGTAACATAATCACATATGAGCTTCGCAGAATCTTCAAATAAAGAATCAATTTTGTTGATAATTCAAAATCAACTTTGAAATAAAAGTCCAGTCATTTTAACGCTCGATGAAATAGATTGATAAACAAGACACCTATGTTGCAGACTTATGTTATAAGAGAATACTATAACGATGCATGTGAGAAAGAATTAGAGACATTTCTATTCTTAGATGGACATGAGAAACTTTGGTTTACCTACTTTTACATACTCTTCAATTAGTACCTCTCATCACCTCCAGTATTTCTCGCTCAAAGGCTATTTGTAATATGGCTTATCTCTTCATTGATTGTGAATATCTTATTTTTGTTTTAGGCCAAAATTGACTGGAATACAGAAAAGAATACCGCCTGGGTCAGGAAAGAATTTTAAGGTATATATTCTTAATTTTCCTTAATTAATTTTTATTTATAATTAGTAATTCTTGTGAACTTAAATAATGTAGAGGGAAAGTGAGAGAGATATATATGATTACTTTTGCTGCAATAATTAAATAATTATTTAGAAATTATGTTATATATTTACATAAATATTGAAATTATTGGAACCATACATATTATGTATTTAATATTTTTCACTTTATCTATTTATTACAAAGAAATTTATTAAATTTGAAATTTAAATACTTATCTTAATAGGTAGATATAAGCTTATCAGTATATTTTATACTTTTATAGTGATATTATTTTATGTTTGATAATTGTTTAATATAATTGTATAATATAATTACCGACTTATTCTTTTATTTTCTTGACTCAATTTATTTTTATAAAAAATATTTTGTTATTAATAATTTTTTATTTATCTTATAATTCTTATGTAATATGAAAATATTTTATGTATCATAATATATTTACTAATGTATTGTTAATATAATATTAAATACACACTATCTTATTTTGAACATGAAAATTTTAGATTATATCAAATTTTCCCATTTTACATATATATCAGATTTAATATACTTTAAATTGTATAAAATGCATACACATAAATATATATTATATATAGACAATAATTAAATATAGAATACAAAATTGTAAATTGATTAAAATGCACAAATAATGTATGCTAATATAGATAAATTTTTAACTTTAAATTATTTGTTACACTATTTTTATATTAACTTAGATTTTTGCAATGTGGAAATAATATGTGTTATAGAGTAAACTTCGTCCTCCAACTAAACTTGAATACCATCAAACAAAGCAAAACAAACTACTAATGAAAAATCCAGAAATAAAACCTGTCATGCAGCCAGAAACAGAAGAAGCTGAAGTCAAATTGAATGTTTCAATTCAGAAAGAAAATGTCACAGAAGAGAATAGTAATAACAAAGTTGTTGAAGTTGAGAAATCTTCTGTAAATAAGGATCATATTGAACATGCTTTTGAAGAGACAAGCGAACTTCAATCTTCTGCGAAAGATATTGAAGAAATTATATTTGTAGAGAGCAAAACTGTTTCGCAAGAAGAAGAGGGAATCTTATTAGCAAGTACTAACACTGAAACCAAAGAAGCGAATGAGCAAAATGAAAATAATATTAAATTAACATTTGAAAGTGAAGAAAGCCCTATAAAAGATGAAGAAAAAAAATTAGATGACAAACGATCAACAGATAACTACAAGGGAGAAGAATTATTCACGGTACAAGAAGAAATAAAGAACGGTACAAATGAAAAAGAAGAAAAGCAAAGCGAAATTCCAATCGATAACGAAAGCTACTCGGTTGACATCGTTGAGTCTACAACATCCGAAGTATCAGAAACGTCGGAATCCATTATTCAAAGTGATATACAGAAAGATAAAGAAAGAATCGACGATGCTATAAATGATGCGTCTTTTATTTCTTACGATTCATCTATAATGCTAAAAGATGTAAAAATCAGGCTTAATGATTGTTTGAAAGATAATTCAAAGCTTTATGATACAAGCAATATGGAAGGCATGCCGAGTCATCTGTTAAAGGACATGTCGTTTGGAAAGACCCTGAGAAGCATTTCGGGAAGACATTCCATTGGTAGAATGCGGCATGTTACTTTACGTGAACGAAGGATATCACCGAATAGCTCTCTTTTTGTGAATACATCGACTATGTCTATACCACAGGATGAAGGAACGGAGGGTTCTAAGTTTTTACATTACGGTAGCGGTTTACTATCTGACAGTTTCTCTACAAACGGTAGCCCATTGGACAGAAAACGTAAAATCGAATTAGAAAACTGGAGCTCGACGAAAAAGCAGAAAACAGACGAAGAGAGTAGTCTACTGAACACATCATTAAATCTACTGAAAGGTTTGCGTCTACCTATGCAGGTATCTACGCCAAAAGCCACATCTTATAAGTTTGAATCTAATAAGTTAGATATTAGCGGGATAAAGAATGATGACAATAAAATGATGGCTGAACCAACTGAGAGTACAAAGAAATGGTGTGTCATCATGTAAACTGCCCTGAAAATCACGATAGTTAATGTATCATTTATATGGAAGAAAAGGAAAAATTTTTTATATCTTCAAAGAGTACCAAAAGTTTAGGAACATTGATATTTTTTTTTCTAATCAATTTCTTTTAATTAGAGCTGACTATATTCTTATTTTTTGTCTTTAAATTTTTCTCGAATAATTGCATTTAGTCTTGATCTTTTAGAAATTTGCTTTTTAATGATCAGAATGTAATATATTTTTAAAAAATTAGGACTTCAACGTTATTCCCACCGCGTAGATTGAAAATTGTTATAGTGCATAATTTTTTAATGCCATTAACTTTGAAATAAAGTCATTTAGAAAGGAAAAAGTAAATTATATAATGATGAAAAGAGTACAATTTTAGTAACTTTTGACATGACTATTTTAATATAGACTTGATTGAAATGTATCAACATTTAATACATTATAATATAGAATAATGAAGTTTACATGTACAGAAGTGTAATTTGTATTTAATTTCGGTACATGTCTCATTGTTTACAATCCATATAATGATAGATAATTTATAATTATCTATTATTTTTTATATAGATTAGATAGACCGACATATAAAATCAATTTTATTTTGATTTTAATAAATTTATAAATTAAAATAATTTTATAATACAGCATTTATATTAATCTAACAAATTTATTTGGGAATTTTTAAAACATTTCTTTATATTATCCCGTAGCTATATTTTTAAAATATTCATATTTCATATATGACAATTATCCATAAAATCTATCATACGATATTAGAAAGACATATCCTTCCGTATTTAATTCTTAATGAAATACAATATTTATATTTTTAATTTGTAATTTGTTAAATCGAATGAGATGATGAAAAATCTTTTGTTCTACATAAATCGAATTATCACGAACAAATTATTGAAATTTATGTACAAGATTAATCTTTTTATAATAAATTGTTACTATAGTAGATAAGTTGCAATATTACTATCAAATAATACCAAGCTTTTTATCATTTGCCTTAATAAGACATTATTGTTGGCTATTATAAACAATTTAGAACATTATATCTATCATATGAGAAGATTCTATAATTACATATTATATAATGTTAGACACATAATTTTATAATTCATATAGATTTATTCTACATATTTTTAAAGACATCATGGTAATTATCTATGCAACTTATTCTGCATAAGAATACTCATGTTTAGTGACAAATTTTGCATCTGCAAATGTTGCAACTGTGAAGATCGAAGATATTAAGAGTGTAGATACGCGAAACTATGTATTATTATGCAGTGTATCTTAAGAACAAAACAAATAATGACAAAAAGAAGGATGTATATCTCTAGAAAAATCTCATTTCATATATAACTTTGTTTGTCAGATTATTATATTCAAGATCTCTTATCTGCCATAAATTTAAATATGCACCATCCATTAAGCATGATATTGTGTTGCCTTTATATCAAATTTTTGTTGAGATATATGTAACATATATAACGAGCTATCACTCCAACCTTCCATCATATGATAAATGAGGATTAGAAATGATTCGACCAAAGTGATTGATTTCCCAGTGTCAATCGATCTATTCGTTTAGATCTGTCGAGGATAGTTATTAACGGCTAAAATTGTCTATTTTACAAAGTGGTTTGTATACTGCAGAGCTGATTAATTTTCTTGTCAATGCGAAGAAAATGTAATTTAGATCGATAATTATTCTGGACTAAACGAATAATCGTTAGAACATACTTTTATACTTGTTCGATTAGTAGAAGCGTTAAGAAGCATACCTAAGAATGTACATAGGAATCCATAAGATTTATAATAAACTCGAAACTGTAAGCTTGTTCACTGATTATTTCACCGAGTAATTCCACAAATCTTTATTTCTGCGTTAATAGTTTTGGATTTGAAATACAAGATATTCTCTTTATCTCCTAATGATATAGTAACTAATTAGATTTATTATATTGGTTAATTAATATTATTAATCAGATCTGTTCTGATCAGATATGTTTTAGTACTTTATGTCTTTGCATATCTTTTTATAAATATATAAACATGCATTAAAAATATAGGTCAGATACATGCAGATAACTTTTGCTGATGTATAAAAAGATGATATATTAGAAATATACCTGCATATGAAAATGCAATGGATCGCAGTGGGATGCAAGAGATGAAGGTAGTATGAAGTCTCAAGAGATTTAAACGAGCAAAGGAATAATCTCGTAACTTCTAGTTGCTTTGATCGGATTCCAGAAATATGAATCAACAACGGGAAAAGATATACTTCTTGTGAACACATAGCCAATTTAAACTGATAGCACTTAAAGACGTTGCAAATTGTTAATTACATTTCCTAATTTGCACATCTAGCTACATTGGATAATGTTTATTTATTTGAAATCCTAAACTTCTTACTTTTCGCTTAATTAGACATATAATAATTTAAAAGATCGTTTTACATCTACTGTTTTATAAAAAAAAAAATAAATTGTTTTATTTTTGGACAAAATATGATAATATTGAGTAGAACTGAAATTATTAAACACTTATATTAATAATGTGAAAATATTTTATATGTTAATATTATCGACAGAAATGTAGAAATCGTTTAATATAAGATAATTAACCGAATGAGAGTGGAATAACGAATTCTTAAGGCATAATTCTCGTCTCAATTACATGCTATATTTCAGTATTAAGACATCCTCTCAGACAAACCTCCGTCAATTATGCTTAAACTTGATTCATCTGAATTTCTATCTTGATCTGAATCCTCGTAATTAATATCTTCCTTTGTTCCCTATACAATTATAAATTAATTTCTAGATCTATTTTAATAAATGCCGTAAGATAAACGTTTTGTTAAACATTTTTATTGCGATGTACATGATTTTGATATAAATGTATATAGCGACTAAAATGATATACAATAATTTTGTTATGCCTATAAAATAAAATATTTATTAAAAGATTACATCGATAATTGTTAGTATTATAATTTAATATAATTTTCATACATTGAGCATTAGAATTCCTTGAACTTATATAAATTATATTAATATTTTTGAACAATATACGATTTAATCGTCTATTTATGTTCTATTATTGTATATTATTTTCTATAATTGTATTTTGATTATAACGGGCAAGCTGTTTAAATTTCAAAAAGTTTAAAAATAAGAGATTCTTAAAACAATAATTATTAAAACAAAGACAAAAATATTGTACAGGTACGACAGTTCAAAGACACATAGATGCCTTATAATACGAAGATACATTATATTGTGTATCATAAGAAAATGAGTAATTTATTTTAAAATTAATCTCTTGAAGATGCACATTTCTCATTTAATTTCATGAATGTTTCTTTCTTTTATACAATACTATTTATAATATTGTATAATTATTATACAGTCATTATTTTTTAAATAAGCCATAATATTGATTGCTGCGTTCAACGTCAATCAATCTTCTTTTTCTTATTATGTTAGATAAAACAAGAATGTGGCGATACACCGCATTATACCATCTGCAATACACCGCATTATACCATCCTGAATTCTTGATTCTGCGGTCAATAGAACCGCAAGCAACACGCCCGAGTTACATCTCTGAAATTTAAGGTCCGGTTGCGGCGTCAAGTGTCAACGGTGTAGAATGCATATCATAAGCGCGAATGAAATTGGAGCACGCTGCGGTACAGCATCCCATGCGGGATTGTCTCTGCTTTTCATTGTGCATTCAATTAGTGAATTCGACCTCCTACACTTCTCTCTTTTTGTTGTCAAATTACAATTACTATTTCGAAAATTCTACAGAGAGATGTTTACATGCCTCGTACAAATTGTACAAATTTAAAGTTATTTGTGTCATGCTTTATTTTATAACCGTATATATAAATCTATCGAGTTTCATCGGGATTTTTATTCAAAATATTATAGTGAACTAAATCGTATGTTAAAATAAAGATTTTTTTTCTCTTTATTGACACTAAAAATATCGAGTGATTATTTTTAATTATTTTTATCTTTTTAATTAATATTTTTTCTAATATCAAAACGACAAGAAAAGGGGGGAAATATTTAAAATAAAGAAATAATTGATGAAAAGTTGAAAAATTCCAAAATTATATCTTCAATATGAGAAAAAAGATATTAAGAAAATAAAAATGATCAAAAATGATTTCTAGTGTTAAATAACATGATTTTAATATTAATTAATTTAATTAAATTTTATTTTTTTATTATCGTTTGTCGGAAAATTATATAGTTTCATTTATTTACGTTCGACCGCCGTGAGGATCGTCTGTATGCTTTTCTTTCTGAAAAATTTTACATATATGAAAAATATTTGTACATTATAAAATAATTTCTTCAATTTTGCACAAGTTTTCCTTTTCTTCTTCTTTTACAAAAAAATCGTAGTACTTTAGTACCTCAGCAGGTCAATACGACGGCTCTGTGAAGGCAAGGACCTTGACAGCCCTCGCGAAGTCCTGGCCACAGGACCGATCTGATTCTGGTCCCATGTGGATTCGGGGAGGCGTGATGTCTCACGTGTACCTCTCGACGGAATTCTAGACTTTGCGCCGCATCGAGCACCAGCGGCGTGGAACGTGCCAGGCACGCCCAGGCCAAAGTGGAGCACGAGGTGGCGTAATTCTTGACCTCGGTGCAGCCACGCAGACATGGAAAGTCGTACAGTGTCCTCTCCAGTTGGCTGACCACCTGTTCGGCGACTTCGCGAGAACCGGTCTGTGCCCCGGAAGTGGCCAGTTGCCTTTTTATGCATTCCTCGAGCTCCGGAGTCGCCGCGGCCGTCTGAGCCGCTGCCGCGCCGTTTAGGATCTTCAAGGCCTCCAGGCGCCGCGATGTCTGAACCATGCCAGCTAGACGCCACGAAAGCTGCAAAGGACGAGATAATGACAATTAGCGGAGGCTACGACTGGTAACGTGGTGGCCTTTAATTTAATTTTGAGATATGTCATTAGAGAAATATATCATAAATTCCGTTCATAATTTCCGACGAGACGCTGCGAATTTCTTCAGTAATTGCTTATTCAGATATTTAAGACGAATAGAGAACAAGGAAGCACATCGAGCACATTTTGCGTGCGACGTCGTATGATTATCACGGACGGATGTTAGGTAGAGATTAGAGTTGTTAGACGTGTTTTAAAACACGCGCTGATTCATGATTGACGTTGACATACGATTTATATTTTCTACATCGAGATTATTTCAGTACAAAGAATTAAATAACGTCCTTTATACAAAAGTTTTATGATATCTTGATCGAATTAACATAGCTGTATTTGATAAACATTAATTAGCAAAAATATCGTTGAAAAACAGTATTCTATATATTAAATAAATCATTAATAAATAATAAATATTAAACAAATCATATATTTAGTATGTATGAATCTTAAAATAATGTTTAATTCTTTGCAATATTCCGGAAGCGTAGCACTAATATCATATATCGTCTAAAATATCTAGAAATACTTGTTAGAAATTTCTATTTCGAGCTATTAATCTTTGCTCGTGATCCCAATAATTATATTGGTACGCCTATTTAGCGTAATTCCAAATACAATAATGATCTTTTTGATGCTGATGCGGTGAAAATTATACTAATTGAAAATCGATATTACACGCAAAGTGCCAAATGTATTTATAATCAAATCATCCGATACACGATAAAGTAATAAAGTACAGCTATATTGCTTACACGTTCTACCGCTCCGTACTTATTATAAGGGATATATCGGTCGCAATTTATGAAATCGAGGACAGTGTTAAAGTCACCGTCATCGTAAGAACACCGGTCGCTTCAATTAGATGACATACGAGTACGTTTCTTGTTCCGGTTCTTATCGCGCAATTACGACGGAATTTCGCGGGATCATGACACTAAAGAATCCTCTTTGCCGTCAAGATTACAATGGTAATTTATGAGCATTGTTGATAAATTATCGCTTTACAACTCGGCTCGTCTTGAACAGTGCGGCTAACTGTTCATCCGGTACCGTTATAGAGATGCAAAGGTTCGCGATTGCCGTATTGTAATTCATATATTTTCTTATAAATTAGAAACCAGATTTAACGAGTAAGCATGTTACTAAGTCCAATGCGTTATAACTTCCTCCATTTATGTAAACTAATATTTTCTGTTGCTTCCAAGAATCGATATCGGAGTTGATGATTCATGAGGAGCCCTCAACTTTAGAAACTCGATACAAACATTCGAACGTTAGAATTATAATGTAACGGAACTTATAACGGAATCTTGATTAATTTGTGCACTAACTTCTCATTATCTTTGAATCGAGAAATATGTTTCCAGTGAATTATTAAGAAGAGACTTAATTTTTATGAACACAATTATTTTACCAGTTACAAGTTTGATAAATGAGTAAATATATTACTATTGGGAACTTGAAAGAAAATATCAACTGTCGATTTTCATAGAGGAGGCATTTAAGCTACTGTTACTTAATTTATAGACAACTCCATGGTAACTTTTAGCCGATATCAGTATCAAGAATGCCGAAAGTTACAGAACAGCTGCTTACACGAAATCCCGCGAGATTGAGTTAGAACTTAAAGTTAGACTTTGACTGCTCTGCGTGACCACCAGAATGTAGCGTGGGCCGTAGCCCATATAACAGCATTAAATTGAATTGTAATCGGTAGCTAAAGCTGTTATTTATGTATGCACAACGACATGAAGAATTGCCTCTGAACAATACACGGTTATCATCCCTCTCCTGAGTTCTTTTTGCGCATTTACAGTTGAGAGAAGCAGTATTTCTGACGGACGTGGGTGTATAAGAAAGAGCGAAAAAAAGCTGCCTCCGTTGCAATATCTATTTTATCACATGTTTCTCGCGTATTCGTGTGTGAAAACCATCTTCCTTCTATGCAACGTATTAGTCGCGGGGCAATCGTTGTATCGATGCATCACGTTCGATTATTTGCAATTGTATCAAAAAGATAACATCAGCAATATTTTGTATATTGGTTTTGTAGAATTCGATTTAATTGAACATTAAAGATAAAATTTAAAATGATTTTATTGCATAAATAGTGAACAAATGCATGCACATATATTTTTTGACATTATTATTATTGTTATTATTATTATTATTATTATTATTATTATTATTATTATTACTCTTTTATAATAGCAGAAAATTTATCTAGGAAAGATTTTTACTTCTAGTTGCGTTAATTCATCGGTATTTATAGGATTTGTAGCTTTCTTAAAAGTATCGTGACTTATCAGCATTGACATACATTCACGTCGCTGCATTATATCTACGAACATATTCAAAATGTATACTGGAGAATAAAAGCTTTTTTGCAAAAGAAAACAAAAATGTATGAGGCAATAAGGAAGTGCCATCGTCGTGCTTATTTTATTGGAAAATCTGTGTGCGAAACGAGATAGCGACGGCGAGATAGTTCAATGCCGCCTGCATTAAAAGCGGTTGCTTTTCGTACTTTATTTGATACGATAGTAAGCGAAGAATAAGCTTCTCTCTCCGTTTTACTGGATTTCGACTTCTTTAAAATCGATCAGTGACTGCCAATATTTCACTTCTTTATGCTTTATTCCATCATCGGTTATATTCGCGTGAGAGATGCATACGGCTATTTCGGGTCTTAGTATAAATTGTAATGTCGATTGAAGTCTGCAACGGAATATATTCAACAAATTTCCCAAATATAATTATAAATAAATAAATATGTATATATATATATATATATATATATATATATATTATTATATATATATTATTAG